TTAGAATACAAACGTGTTTTTTTTTTTTATCATTTTGTGCATCTTTGGTCACACGGCCATGTAAACCGTAGGTATCACTGACTTGGTTTTTGAATCTCAATAAAGTGAGTCTAAGAGTTCTAGAATAATCTAGCTTTTCGGCTTACCTGATCTCAAACGAGCCGTGTTGTTCACCAGTTTTCTATTTTCCGTTCACCTGAAAATTTTTCAATGACTACTCATGGAATACATCGTCAATTTCAATCAAAGATTGTACAAAGCATCGTGAGACAAAGGGAAAATTATCTAATTGTTAACATATTTCTGAGCTCAATTTCATATGAAAAAAAATAAAAAAGGTGGGAATCATTATTTTTTTCAAGATCAAGTGTCAGAAATGCTGAAACGTATGTAATGTATTGTTAGTTATAAATTGTTCAAATCATGTCCTGCAAACTAATTTGGAGACAGAAAAGGGACTCAAAAATTTACATCGAAATGTATAGGAAAGAGTTTTTAAATCATCTTCTCCAGAACTACTGGGCCAGAAAATCTTAAAGTTATGTGGACTTCTTAGGAAGTAGAAACTCCAAATTATTAATTCAGGACCTTATTAGGATTGAGTGGGGCCACAAAGGGAAATTAAAGAGCCATACTGCCTTAACGACGATACGGCCGACTCAAGTATTTAAAAGGAAATCACCTGTTTATATTTATAGATACATGAACCTTCTCAATTCAAGATCAATCTACATGTAATCATTTGTGGACAAGTGTTATATTTTCAAAGCTGCACGTTTGTTACATGTCAGGTATTTTACTTGTTCAATAATGTTATTCAAAACAAGATTTTTAGAATTTTTTAAAAATTAAAACAAGCTAGCAGCTACGCATTTAGGTCATTAAAATAGTTTAGGACTGTTTTTTTCCCGAGATACTTACAAGGTGCTGTGTTGTATATATGTATACATTATACATTTATTATAGAATAATAAAAGAAAACATAGGAAAAATGCAGAGAGAAAAAAAAAGCAAAAAAAGAAAGAAAGAAAAAGAAACACACACCATGAGACTCGAAGAAGGATATGGAAATAACGAACAGTGTTCAATCTCAACATCCATTAAACAAATATACAAAATAAGAGCAGAGCAAACACGGACCTTCGAAACATCAGAGGTGGGATCAGGTGCCATGGAGGAGTGAGCATCCACTGCTGACCGGTCACATCCGCCGTGTGCTCATTGTCATAATCAGGAAATTACGGAAAAAATCCATGGTCAATTCAGTGTATAAACAATAGACTAACAATTGGTATGAAAAACGTCAGTCAGCATTTCATTCAATGATAAATTGTATTTGCTGACATGGTCATTGTATCGACCATAGAATTTACGAAATGATGACTTTAAACGAGACTGTTGATATTCTTGTTTCATAAACTTGCTTGTCAATAATTTACCTCGTTTAAGAAATTGTTCATACGTAGAGCATGCTCTTGCGTATCGAATCAACTGAGATATAAATACTCCGTATGCAGGTGATGAAGGTATATTGCTGCATAAGTAAGGGAAGTTGACGATAGAAAAGTTAAAGTCATCACGTTTATCATATAGCTTGGTTGTTAGATTACCATTAGTGTCTTTTTCGAGTAAAATATTCAAGTATGAAGCAGAAGTGTCGGACTCTGTGGTATCTTTTATTTCAAGCTCACCAGGATATATCGTGTCGACGTAGGAGGCCCGGGTTCGATTCTCGTTCCCGGCGCCGTGTCATACCTAAGACGTGAACAAAGGTAGTGACTGTTCCTTCGCCAAGCGCTCGGCACTAGAAGTGAAAGTCACGGGTCTTTCGGATATGACCTTAAAAACGTAGGTCCCGTGTCACGGTAGGCGATGGAACGATAAAGAACCCTCACTGCTCAATGGCCCTGAGTGCTGAGTATAGGTCTAAATTTGAAGCCCTTCACCGGCATACGGTGACGTCTCCATATGAGTGAAAAATTCTCAAGATGGACGTTAAACAATATACAATCAATCAATCAATCTTCTTTTCACGTAAAAGATTTTGCATAAATTCTGCTTCATATGAATATAAAAATAAGTCTGCTAATAACGGGGCGCAATTTGTACCCATGGGAATTCCAATAGATTGTTGGAATACCTGGTCTCCAAAAACCACATAGATATTGTCAATCAGAAACACAAGCATCTTCTTGATGTCAACTTCAGAGTACTTATGTGTGCAATCAGAATCTGTTTTAACAAAATAATTTTTCAAATGACCAATGACTCACTATAATTATGTCTACTATCCAGCAATCATTCCTCATCGCCACGAAGTCACTGTAATCGAGTGGACAAATTTAAAACAAGTTGTTGAATTTTAAAATAATTGACAAGAAAAAAAAATACAGTCATATATTTTACATTTTCAATATGAAGACCATCTTTAACCAAAATTATGGAAATGTAATGAAATGCAGTCATATCCAAATAAAATTATTCGGAAGTTGTTGTTTTTTTTGGTTAAGGGTGGTCTTTTGCTACAGTTTGTCATTGTTTAGGGAGATACCTCAGTATTTATTATATATTCTCCATATAAACCGAAAGATTTTATGTATATCATATGAGGGAACTATTCATATTTGAATATTATTTTTCTGTGATTTGCTTTAAGGCATGTATAAACTAACATTATAGGGCAAAATTTTGGTTAAACAATGTATCTAAAATATCACTACTAGTGAAGGCGAAAGTGACTATCAAATGCGCTATGGCTCGTTTTACATAGAACTATAACCATGTACGAGGGCCGTTCAAAAATTACGCGGACTTATTGCACAGAAAATATATTTGACGACATAATCGGGCAAAATGTGACACATAATGTAAAAGAATCTTTACTTATATAGTCCTCAAAATTTCATATTAAAATGTTGTGAATGAGTATCAATTTTTAGTGATTTTAGGACATATCATTAAGTCACGGAGCAGCGAAATCTTTGACGTCACAGGCATTATAAAGAATATGTTATTGAGCTTTCATTTTCACAACATTTTCGCAGGAGTACCTGTGCAGTTTAAATTGCCTTATCTTCTTAACATCCAAACACCATTTTTTGTCAAGCTTAAAATCTATTAAAGTCTTTGCAGTCCGGATAAAGTTTTCGTCGATAATCTTCTTCCTGTCCTCCCATATAGCGTTTTTACCGAGGTCTAACAGTCTTAAATTTCAATTTGCTATTTGGGGACGAATGTCAGGAATACCCAAGTTTACTTCATGTTTCATTATGTATATTTTTTATCTATGTTGGCGATATCTTGAGCATTACACATAATTGTGTGGTATCCATCAATTCAGGAGACGTCATTTTCACAGTCGTTTTCACAGGAATCGCATCAGAGAAAAATTTCTATATTTCTGTCAGTACTTAAAATATCACGTCAGAAATTTAAATACATAATAATAGAACAATGTAAAGATACATTTGAAAAAAAATGTCAAAAACTTCGCGAATTATAGAAAATTACATGTAGTGAGTTAAATTTTATATTCCGCATGTTTTTGCTTCATTTTTTTCGTGGTCTGTACCTCTCCATTAGCAATATCAATATACCGATAATTTCAGTAGATTTTTTTAAATACAGAAATTGTGCCCAAAATTTTTTTAATCTTTAAGATACATATTCTGTCAAATTTCATTACTATATGATGTCTATTATAGTAAATAATATCAAAGTCCGAGTAATTTTTGAACGGCACTCGTATACAAAAAAATCTTTTAAAATCTTCTCCTGAAGAACTACTAGGCCAGAAAAGATGATTCTTGGGTGGAAGCCTCCTGAAGTAGTGTAGATTCTAAATAATTGTTCAGAGCATACATGTACCCCCCCCCCCTGGGTAGGATGGGACCATATAGGGAATCACAGTTGAAATCAACATAAACACTGAAATATTAAGAATCATCGTCTTTCCAAGAACTACTATTCAATACTGTGCCAGAAAAGCTGAAATTTATATGAGAGCTTCTTATGTAGTGCATATTCTAAATTGTTCAAATTATAACTTCAAAGGAAGCCTAGGGCCACAAAAAGTATTACAAACTGGGAAGGGGGGCTCATAAAGAACAGCAGGGCCAATTTAACTTTTCCAAGTTGAGGGTTTGGCCAATAGGTCTCTTGTTAAGTTGAGTCAGTTGAGTCAAACAATTTGTCACAATGATTAAATTTGTCCTATTTTGTTAAATGATGAACCTTTAAGGACGATAGACTATGTCAAGTAAATAGTAAATTTGAATACATACTTGTGGAATGTTATTGTCCCATCTCAATATTCAGGATACTAGGACCTTTGTTTAGGCATGGCATATGGTTGGCCTAAATTTTTGTGAAAATTTTGTGTTGACTGATTAAATTTTTTTGTGTACCTCCAGAGAAAAATAACAGTTCAGTGCATGTAGTGGCTTCAGCATAAGTGATAACTAGGTCACAGGAAATATTATTCATCCGCGGATCTTACTACATGTAGTTAGAGGGGTGGGAAGGGGTGTTAGGGTTTTCAAGAAACCCTTTTTGGGGGGAGAAACCCGACAGAGAAAGGAGAAACGCCAAAATAAATGTGGGTGTTAATGTTTCCAGATATACTGCTCAAATATGTGTGTGGGGTGGTGGTGGGGGGGGGGGAGGATGAAAAATTCCCTTCGTGTACAGGCTTTAAACTGATTCATGTGAATGTGTAAATAATAAAGCAAGCTGAATATATATATGATATAAATAATTTACCATTAAAAAAAATTATCATACAGTACTACATATTTTCTAATTTTGTAATGTTTATGATTTTTCAAAATTAATATCATCATACCTATCGAAATTTGAATAAATATTTTGAAGAAATGAACACTGAATAATGAGTTTAGTTTGTTATTAAAATCTTCCAAGCTACTTATGTGCTATAGTGCCATCATCTATTTTCATCCAATGATGTGAAACATATATCCTTAAGTTTTCCTCTTTTTCTCCCACAGAATCACTCTATAGAGACAACAATTTCAAGCAGTGTTGCCAAAAAGCATCATTGGATAATAATGGAATGAAATTTGACAAATAAAAATTAGGTTTGTTTCTTAAGAAAATAGTTTAAAACTTGTGAAATTGTGAAAAATTGTCTGTTGTTTCTTACACACCTGAATCACTTTGTCTGTCTGTCTGTCTGCCCTTGTACACATGCCCTGATCAGCTATAATTATGTAATATTTACTGGAAGCTCATACAGTGTACTTATAACTAGGGATGGCAATCGAATGCAGAATTGCTAATCAGCAGTCAGGGGCATAACTCAAACAAGTTAAAAAAATAACTTAAATAAGTTATTTTACACACACGAATTTTTTTTTAAAATAACTTAAGTTATTTTTATGTCCTACTTGGACATTGATTTCTTGGAAATTTTGTGTTTCCTGCCAATATGGATTGCATTTTGGGATTGCATTATGTAATACTAGATGGAGTTCACCGACTCCAATGGAGAATTTTTTGAGGAGGTTGAGATAAAAAACATTTACACATTATTTTGTGGTTTTATCCACATGGTGTATATGTCCAATTTTTATCATTAAATAAAAAAAAAACCCCACTTTTCCCAAGACTTTTAACACTTTTCCTGCATTGAGCAAGGTTTAAATTAAGTCAAACATTTGTTTTTGTCTTGGTGCCCGAGCAAAATTGTTTGGTGCACGGGGTGTGAAGTTAGGGAGGAATGCCACAAAATAACTTAAAAAAGTGATTAATTTATTGAAGCTATTTTAGGAAAGTAATGTGTTTAAGTTACAAAGGCTAGGAGAAAGTATGTCATAGCAAAGAGAAGTAACTCATTGAGACCAAAAAAATAACTCATTTGAGTTATTTTTGCAAATAACTTAATTGTTTAAGTTATGCCCCTAACTGATCAGTTAATCGCAAGACGTTCCGGCTGATTAACTGGTTAATCGGGTTAATCGCATTAAATTACACATTTTCTAATTTTCTTGACTTTTATTCAAATATTTCTATCCATTTACACAAAAATAGTGAAAATGACGGAAGTTTTAAAAAATATCAGGCTTAAAATGTTCTGGCTTTGTTTTACAGATATGAAGGGATGTGCTGTGCAGCTGTTACAAGGATGAAAATATGGCTACCTCACTGGTTTTGATGTTTCTTCAGCGTGCAAATCTTCATCAATAATCAGGCTAAAAAAATCATAGTAAATTTATTTAGATCTAAAATCCTTTGTTGATTCACATTTTCTTTTGACACGGGTAAAAACTTTCATTTGAATTAAAATATTTTATCGATTAAATAAAATTTGGTAAATAAAACCTACTATATGTTTACATATGTACTTTCGTTAGAATAATAAATAATAAGTAATTGTCCTTTGTTTTCTCAGCCAAGAAAAAGAAATAAGATCAATGGAAACCGTGTAGTTTTTCCTTGTTTTACCAGATACAAGAAATCTGTGTGGTATGTGCTTTTTTCTGTTCTTTTTTGCTCACCTAAGTTGAATGCTGATCAAATTTATTTTGTCTGTAGTCTGTCTGTCTAGCTGTCTGTCTGTCCATCTGTAAGGTTTTCAGATTTTCAACTTCTCTAGAACCCATGGACCAATTTCAACCAAACTATCTACAAAGCATTCTTAGGTGAAGGAGATCCGCTTTTATTCAAGTGAAGGGGAGATAATTTAGAAAAACAGTGAAAATTTGGTAGCATGTTTTAAAAATCCTCTTCGCAAGAGCAACTGGGCATAAAAATATAAACTTGTAAGAAACCTTCTTTAAGTGATGTAGATTCAATTTTGTTCAGATCAATACCAGGAAGAGGGCTGGGCCAAAATTGGGGTAAAAATTGGCATAAGAATATGCAAGAAAAAATGTTTCATAATCTTATTCTTAAGAACAACAAAGAAACGATTAACCAGCCATATTGATATGGAAGTATCCTCAAGTAGTGTAGAATCAGATTTGTTCAAATTATTGTTTATGGAGTTCAAGTTTGGGGCCACAGTAGTGGATCAAAGATTACATGGCATAATATAGGAAAAAAACTTTCAAAATCTTCTCAAGAACAATAAAGCCTCTTCTAGTTGTATTGCATATTGATACAGAAGCATTTATTTCTCAGATAGTGTAAGTTCACGTTTATTCAAATTAAGACTCCCAGGGGTAGGATGAGGCCACAGTGGGAGATCAAAGTCCTACATAGGGCTAGACATACATATCAAAAACAAAAACTTTCACAAACTTCTTCTCAAGTAAAAAGCAAAGCCATGTTTACTCATATTGATATTAGAACATCCTCAGGAAGTGTAGATTCAGATTTCTTCTTGAAAAAATAAGTCCTCATTACCCCCTTGCTTGTTGTAAAAGGCGACCCCTGTTGGGATCTGGGTTAGAATAGGTCTTCAGTACCCCCTTGCTTGTCGTAAAAGGCGACTAAATGGGGCGGTCCTTCGAATGAGACCGAGGCCCCATGTCACAGCAGGTGTGGCACGATAAAGATCCCTCCCTGCTCAAAGGCCATAAGTGCCGAGCAAAGGCCTAAATTTGCAACCCTTCACCGGCAATGGTGACGTCTACATATCAGTGAAATATTCTGGAGAGGGACATTAAACAGTATACAATCAATCAATCAAATGATGACTTCTGGGGGGTAGGGTGAGGCCACTTTGGAGTATCAAATTTTTACACAGGAGAATATAGGAAAAAATCTACTCATGATCAACAGAGTGTTGTTTATAGTCATATTTATATTGAAGGATGCTCAGAAAGTGAAAATTATTTTTGTGTAAATCATAACCCCTGGGGTGAGGAGGGCCCCAAAAGGGGATCAAAATTTTACAAAGGTAAATATAAGAATTTTTTTTTAATTTCTTCTCAAGAACAGCAAAGCCATTACAATGTTGTACAATGTACAATGGAAGAATATTCAGAAAGTGAAAAAATCAAGTCCGCCAGCCCATGTAAGAACTGATTTCTGCTTATTCCTAGACAATGTACTCAGGTGAGCTGTGCTATCTGTAGGGCTAATCATTTCAGAAAATGTATAATTTATATTTATACATACCTAAATATATATTTTTATTCCATTGAATAATTTGTAAATATTGAATTGTTAGACAGGTTATATTGTGAACACTTCGAGGCTGCTGTCTACTGAGACATCAAAATGACTTTGTTCCCAATAGAAAGGTATTTAATGTGTTATGTGTATTTTGATACTTTTAAGTTTTTCAGTTTCTTAAATCAAGAATATTGATACACAAGGCCATCTTTAAAAACTGTTTGGTTGCCTTGTCTCAACGATTTAGTAACTAAAACAGCCCAAATAAAAACTTTTTTTGATTTCACATTTGCAGGTGTTTTTGAATAAAGAAAAGAATTTGGTCCTTATCTGCCTACCCTGTTTTTTATCCTCAGTCAGGAGAGGGCAAACAAACATATTTTGTAAGGATGGACTGATCTGAATAATAAGTAATAATAAACTTTTAAAGAGAGGCGTATTCATATAATAAGTAGTAATAAATTTATATGAAATAATTATTTCACTTTATATAATACATGTATATATTCAAACTACTGAACAGATTGGGCAAGATGCATACAATATCTGTAAACACCCTGTTATTGATGTAGAAAATTCTAGAACAATGTTGTAATTTACAGAGAGATCTCCCTGACTGAAGGAAATTAACACAGAATTATAAAGTCACAGGAAAAAGAAATAAAAGTCTGATGTCAGTGATGTATAGAATGGTGTTACAGAAATCTTTCACAGTGTCTGGTGATATTGGGTGTAAACACATTACCCACGTGTCAACAGACCGGGTCTGGAATAGTGATGATGAAGGCAATCTCATCTTAACTAACACGACAGGAGACACACTAGATAAAGTGACAGGTTTAGCTAAATATAGTGGTGGATTACATACAGTGACTCGGGATAGTGCTGTGATTTATATAGACAGTCACCGTAACATCATTAAACTGTCTACAGATAAAGTAAAGACCACGGTGATATCATACACACCACCATGGAGACCAGAGAGTGTCTACAGCTCCCCCTCCACTGGAGACCTGCTGGTCGCGATGAGGAATTATACATGGACAGGCAAGGTAAACTGTTACACTGACACAGGACGTCACAAACAGACCATACAGCACGACAACACAGGTCAGGAACTGTATCGTGTACCTATCTACATCACGGAGAACCGTAATGGAGATGTAATTGTGTCTGACTTAGGCCGTGAGGCTGTAGTGGTGACAGACAGAGGAGGTAGACATCGCTTCTCCTACACAGGTCCTCCATCAGGATCAGTGCTATCACCATATGGAATCTGTACTGACGCGTTGTCACACATCCTTGTGTGTGATGATAACACCTACACAGTACATATCATTGACCAGGATGGTTTCTTTCTGACACAGATAGAGACCAAACAACACGGGATAGACACACCGTACGGCCTGAGTTATGATTGGGATACACAGCTTCTCTGGGTTGGATCATACAACAACAACACAGTAAACATTTACAGACTTATCAATGAAGGGGACCATCTGACTGGTGAGTAACATGCATTATTGTATCATATTGTGCGTTTTTTTTACATGTATAGGTATTAGGTAACATGTTTTGTGTACAATGCTACATCTACCATTATCTACAATAATTTAATTATATAGGAAGACACATTCAATGTTGTATCAACTTGTATGTGTTATATATTAACATGATTAAACAAAACATTTAAAATGATAAGTCTAGTTACATTACATCTTTCATTGAATTATAATTTGTCACAATAGATAGCAAGAAATATTTTTTAAGATGAGGATAATATAAATTATAAATTGTAGTTTAACTAATAATAATAATAATAATAATAATAATACTTTATTTAAAGAAGGTAACCTGATTAGTGCAAGCACTATTCTTCCCCAGGGCCTTCTGACAATTAACAATTTAAAGATACATAGTTATACACATACAGACATATTATAAATATATACATGAATATACAAATACAATTAAACAGGAATCACAAATTATTCTGACATTGTTTAACATATTGTTTAACTTGTCTCTTGAAAGCATTAAGAGTTGGTGACATTTTTATGTGCACTGGTAAAGCATTCCATAATATGGCGCCAGAGTACTGGAATGAATTTTCAAAAAGTTTACATTTATGAATTGGCACACACAAATCAACATTGGATTCAGATCGAAGAGTATATTGGTTATTACTTTGAAATTTAATCATTTTATGTAAATAAGTAGGACAATAATTAAAGACGGATTTATATAACAATACATATTTATTTATAGTAAGCTGTTCATATACAGTAAGCCAATCAAGTTTATCAAAAAGGGGTCTAGAGGGTGCATCAGGGGGAGCATCTAAAATATACCTTGCAGCACGTTTTTGAAGTTTATGAACTCGGTCAAGATTTGATCTGGACGTATTTCCCCAAATTGTTAGGCAGTAATCAATGGTAGGCATAATATATGCATTATAAAACAATTTACGTGTTTCGAGAGGCAGATATTTTTTAATTCTACGGAGTACAGAAATTTTACGTGACAGAGTTTTACACACATGGTCGATATGTACATTGTATTGTAGAGAATTATCTAGATATACTCCAAGAATTTTTTCATATGTTACATTGTCTAATTTCTGGTTCGAAACGTATAAAGGAAAATCATGGTCTAAGAATTTTGATCTCTTTTGATGTGTCCCTATTAACATGCATTTAGTTTTTGAGGCATTAAGTATCATTTGATTTTGAGTGCACCATTTTTCTATACAAAAAATATATCCATTGATTATGAATTTACTATAGATTGGGAATCTTTGCCGGAAGCATGTAAAGTGGCATCATCGGCAAACAAATCTATGTTTGAATTTTTGATATAAAGTGGAAGATCATTAATGTACATTAAAAACAGAAGAGGACCTAGTATAGACCCCTGTGGAACTCCCGCTGTGACTTGCTGATAAGATGATTCTTTGTTAGACAGATGGACACTTTGAAGTCTGTCACTTAAATACGATCGAAACCAATGTAAAGTAATTTCATCGAAATTATAACATTGTAGCTTTTTAAGAAGAATTTCATGATTTACTAAGTCAAATGCCTTACTGAAGTCAAGAAAGACAGTACCAACAAGTTTGCCTTGGTCCATTTCATATAACCATTTATCTGTAATTTTTGTAAGGGCTGTTTGACATGAATGCAATTCTCTGAAACCTGATTGAGATTCTATTAAAAGATCAAAGTCTGACAATAGTAAGCGTACATATTTTGCCACATGTTTTTCTATAATTTTTGATAATGTGGGTAAAATAGAAATGGGCCTGTAGTTATTTGGATCTAGCTTGTTTCCCTTTTTATGAATAGGTGTAACTTTGGCAAGTTTAAAGCATTTCGGGAAAATACCTGTAGTAATACTAGTATTTATTTTATGGGTTACAGGTTTATGTATTATTTGTGCAGTAAGTTTTAATAAACGTGGACCGATGGTATCTACACCTGATGATTTATTAACATCTAGTTTGTTTAGTAAGGAAAGCACTTCGTCAGGGCTTATAAGCGGGATAAAAAACATTTCTGATCCCAATTTAGACTGTACAAAATTTAAAAGGCCATCGAAATCACACTCTTCTTTATTTACTCCTTCAAGGAGTTTAGCAGAAACATTTGAGAAATGAGAATTAAATATCTCTGCAATTTCTTGTGTATCCTCTGTTACATTATTATTTTGTTCAAGTGCTGTCGGACTATAATTTTTGGGAGTAGAAGCTAATTTGTTTAATGCATCCCACATCTGACGTGGATTTTTGTTTTGCTCTACAGTTGATTTATAATAATTAATTTTTGCATTTTCAATCAGTGATGTTACTTTATTTCGCCATAATCTGTAGTTTTCAAATTCCTTACTTTTATGAAAGTTATTGCGTTTGTGCTGTGCTTCAAGAATTTCTTGGGTTAACCATTTTGGTCTTGCATCATACTTCACTCTTTTAGATTTTATTTTTGCATGTTTGTCTAGTACAGCATTAAAAAGTGAATAAAATTTATTTAAGGCATCATTAGGATTAGAGAGTGAATCTAAGGATTGAAAATTAACTTTTTCCAGGTCTGAGAGAAAGTTTATTTCATTAAACTTTTTGAAGTCTCTGTATGTTATCTCCGTGTGCTTATACTTCTTAACATAATCATGTAGTTTTCTTGTAAAACAAATAGGATAGTGGTCAGAAATTGCAATTGGTGGTACTATAGATTCACATATGTTCTCAGGTAGGTTAGTATATACATGATCAATTAGAGTTGAGGAGACATTTGTTATTCTCGTGGGTACATTAATTATCTGTGAAAAGTCATATTCTTCAAAAGCAGAGGTCCAGTATCTTGGGGGGTCTTTCATCAGATCAATATTAAAATCACCTGTTAAAATAATTTCAGCATCGTCACAGCGGGATGCACAATTTATCTCCCGTGTCAGACTTTCTACCCAGCAGGTGGTGGCAGATGGGGGCCTATATACGGTACAATAAAAAATTGGTTTTGAATTTGGGATGTTAATTTCAAGCCATATTGTTTCTATGTCACCTATTTCAAAATCATTGCGACGTTTGTAATGCAAATTATTTGAGATATATACAATTATTCCTCCTCCTGATTTCCCTAATCTATCTCTTCTCTCAAAATTAAATCCATCGATATCCAACTCACAATTATCTGTCTGTTCATTAAGAAAAGTTTCACAGATACCAAATACATCAATGGAATGATAGCCTGATAAAAGAAGCTTAAGCTGGTCAATTTTAGGCAAGATGTGACATATATTTAGATTCCCAAATCTAAGACCTTTTTTGACGAGTCCAAAATTAAATGAACTTGAATTTTTCTTCTGTGGTTTCTCATTGATTTCAGGATTTAGTAAGTTTGAATTTTCCTTTGATGAACTGGTAGTTTGGGATGTACATTTATGAATTTTCCTAGGAGATACATTTTTTATAGAACAATTTACATCATTTTCATTATTATAACGTGTATAGGATTTAGAATCTTGACTTGTAAGTAATATATTAGTATTGTGTGAATTACAGAGATATGAGCATTTACATGATATTTCACCACATTCACCACAAAGATTATCTAAAACACTAAAGGGGTTCAAGAGAAATGGTTTTTCGGCAATTTCCTCTTTGCCGAATTCCTAATAGGAACAGTGTTTTGCCTTATGTCCTGAAGAGTTGCAGATCCAGCAAACAATTTTACATCCATGCCTACAATTACGTGAGGAATGACCATTTTCACTGCAATAATAACACACATTCACATTTCCATTTTGTGTACTATTCTGATGGCGGGCCTTGATGACTGGAATGTGCGCATTATAGGAATTCAATAGTGTAGATGTTCCCTTGTCGGATAAGTGAATCCCATCCTTCCAGAACATACCTGATGACTTGAACTTATCTTGTAGAGAGATCATGTTGACACTATATTCCTCACATACAAATCTTATCATTTCATTCATGTGGGTAACATCAGCATCTCGTCGTGGTGGTATTTCCGATATGAATATTTCGGTATTTGGGGACCTCCTCTGGATTTCGAGCACAATTTCAGTGAGATGACATTCACTGGTCTCCAATTCCCTGTCGTTGGCAGCATTATTTCCCCCGGCAAGTACGATTATTGACCGAAAGGACGATAGGTCGGTTTTCTGGAGAATTCTCCTGATGTCTGACAGCCGAGCCCCTCTGTTTGTTCGGACAGCAACATGCCTCAATAATCCACGGGTACTTATTCGTTGGAGGATAGAATCACCAATTATCAGTACTGACTTTCCAGATGGAACGTCTGACTCCAGTTGCTGGTTCTTACTGGGTTTATTGTGATTTTTTTGGCTTTTCTGATCAGTTTCTGGGGATGTTGACGAATCTGTTGTCTCCACTCTAGAACACTGTGTGTGTCTGGTTACACCTTGTGATTTGGAATCCTTTAGGTCCCTTGTGTCGATCGCCTTAGTTTTTGTAAATGGCTCCCTTGTTTGGGTGGTTGCGTCCACAGAATTTGTATTTTTAGCCTGTAGAGATTGCAGCTCTAGCTTAAGTCTAGCAACTTCTTCGGAAAGATCAGACACAGTCTTTGTAAGTTTTTGAATTACATCAAAACTATTGCAGTTGAGACATGGCCGAGCTTCCATTTCTTGCGATTTGCAATGTTTAGGTGTAGACATATTTTGTGGCTCTGGCATTCCTATTCCTTCGATTTTACTGACTTCAGTTATTGGTAGATAACTAATTTGATTTAGGAAATCTGTAAGCCAACTGAGTCTTTCACTCCCTTGAATGTGGATTGTTTGGGTAGATTTATACAGCGTAGCTGTAGCATTACCATTACATGATTTGTAGATGTTTCCATTTTTAAATCCAGTTTTGGCAAACAGTAGATCATTGTTAAGAATGGTAACAATGTTGTCGAATTTATCTTCCTCATAGTTCAGTGTTACACTCTGTTTGTTGAATCTTACTTGTATGAAATCTGGCACATGAACATCAAGGAATGGGTCTTCATCATCAGGTATAGAATTTGAATTTCCTTGTGAAAATGAAAGTCCAAGGGTATCCAGAATAGATTTAAATAAACTTGTATTTTCGTTCAAATTGATTGACTCCATTACTAATCATATTCAGAAGCACAGGTAATTACTGATAAGGAGGAGCATTGTAAAACATATCTGGTCACCTCGAGATCTTTATGATAGAATACTTTTACATGTTTTTAAAGAGTTTGGCAAAGCAGTTATTTCTAGAAAGACAAAAATGTTTGAATCATGTTAATACATGTAAATGTTTATCAACTTGTAAAACATTCTCTGGAATTAATTAATTTCTCACGTGTGTAGAACTTAATCAAGTGTATAGATATTACTGAAACATATAAACAATTGACTAAATGTCTCTGTAGTTTTACTGTTTACTCTTTGTTGAATAATAAGAAGACTGGACAAAGAGAGATAACTCTAAATAAACAACACCGTGTTTTTTGACATAAATTGACAATGCATATTGTTTAAAATGCTAATGGATTTAAAAAAAATAAGAAAAATGTGTACATATAATATAATTTATTCATCATATAAAATATAGGGGTTATGAAAAAAGTATGGTTATGAATTGTTTTTGTATTTAAATTTTAATGTAGAAAATCATGTAGGGTGAAACAGGGGACCAGGCTAATTAAAATCTATATGTAAAATGTGTGTAGAGTGGGTGAGTGTGGGCTATAGGGATTTGAAAATAAGTTTTTGTAGTTGATCTTCTTAAAACAAAACCTTAGTTGTAAATTAAAAGGTTCTTTCTGATGAAATTAACAAGGTCAAAAGGTAACTGTGTTGAGACCAGGTGTGTATGAATGTGTAACTAAGGAGACAATACTTATTACCAGTGGACCTCTCCCTTACATGAGCAGAGGGTAACATCTTATATTTTAAGCTTCTTCTTTGGAACTAAAGGACCAGTTTCAACCGACTCTGACATATAGCAGTTACTAGTAAAGGGAAACCGAAAAATTGTTAATTTTCATCCTCCACGTGGCCTTCTCTCGTGTCTAAGGGCACTTCTCTAAAGGTCATATTGTAAGAATACATAAATTCGAAAACGAATTGAAAATTTTCCAATCTCCTTTTAGAAATTTAACTGATGAACTACATAAAAATAGTGAGTTTAGTGTTCTTTTGATGAAATAGGGGGAGGGGCTCTATGGATTAAACATTTTAACATGTTTAAATACAGAAAACATTATTTCTTAGAAAAAAATAAATCTCTTCTCTGCTCTTAGATAGTAAGGAAATAAATTAAGAGTTTAGTAATGATAAAGGGTGGAGTTCTTCTTTCGAAATTGTGTATTTCAAGACCTCTGTAAATGGAATTCTAGTGTTGAGGGTTAAGATGTTTCGAATCTACAGTGAAAATGTTTTATTATGTTTTATTTCCTTGAAAATATTTTACTCTGCTAAAAAGTACAGTGTAATAAAGCAGGGCTATATTTTACAGACCTGTGAAATTCTTGACCCATTTTGTTTAAAAAAAATTTGGTTCTAGGGCTGAATTAATATGTGAGTTATTTCCCGTTGCTATTCATTTAGCAACATGGATTCATGTTTGTTTGATTTTTTTATTTTGATTGATTATATTTTTTTTTATCTTTACAGTGCTATACTATACTCAGGTAACTGTTAAGGCCCTCGGACCTTTTGGATTTTTTTCTGTGTTCATCAAATGAAAGAAAAAATATCATCTGTGTGTTCTGAGAATAATTCTAATTATTCTTTTATGTTTTAGATAAAGTGGATGAGTTAAAGACGTTCTTGAGAAAGGAGAAGACACGTGTTTCCCATGCCAGAGGAATACTTGTTGGATGTGCTGAGGCTGGAAAAACAACGCTACTGAAAAGATTAAGAGGGCAAAGTCAGAATGTCGGTGAAGTTACAGAGTCCACCAGGGGACTGGAAGTCCATCAACATCTTTTCATTGTTAAAGACAGAAAGTTAGAAGGTAAATAATTTCTACATTTAGCCATTAAGAATGCACAGGATTTCTGTTGTCAAAATCTCATTTCTTGAATGGTTTTACATCTATAGACATTTACATGTCACCCTATTACATTTCTGCAATACTCAACCGTATTTTTCATAGAATCAAAACCTCTATGTATGATTTTAAGAGATCCGTAACAATTTTCAGCATACTAATTTTTTTTTAGCTCACTTGAGCTTTTCTGATCAAAATTTCTTCATTGTCTATCGTTGTTGTCATAAACTTTTCACATTTTCATCTTCTTCTCAAGAGCCACTTGGCCGAATTCAACCATTGCCACAAAGTATCCTTAGGTGAAGGGGATTCAAGTTTTTTTTTTTGTACAATTGAAGGTCCACACCCTCTTCCAGGGGGAAATAATAATGAATTAGCGAAATATTATTTTCATCTTTTACAAATCTTCCAAAGAACAACTGGGCCAGGGAAGATGAAACTCATGTGGAAGCATTCTCATTTCTCAGGTATTGCAGATTACATTTTCTTCAAATCATGACCCTTTGGGTAGGGCGGGGCCACAGTGACTGATCAAAATTTTACAAAGAAATATATAGGAAAAATCTTGAAAAATCTTTTTCTCAAGAAGAGTGAAGCCATCATTGGTCATATTTATATGGAAGCATCCCTAAGCAGTGTAGATTCAAGTTTGTTCAAATCATGACCCCTTGGGGTAGGGCGGGACAAAAATGTTTGATGAAAATTTTACTTTGGAATTTACAGGTACAATCCTCTTCTCAAGAACAGTGAAGCCATTTTTAGTCATATTTATGTGGAAGCATCTGCACATGCTGGTAGTGTAGATTTAGTTAAAATTTTGCTCAAATCATGACAAAGAAATATAATGGAAAAATCTTGAAAAATCTTTTTCTCAAAAAAAGTGAAGCCATTGTTGGTTTTATTAAAATGGAAGCATCCCCAGGCAGTGAAGATTTAAGTTTGTTCAAATCATGACCCCTTGTGGTAGGGTGGGGCAAAAATGGTTGATGAAAATTTTACTTTGGAATTTACAGGTAAAATGAAAAATCTTCTTCTCAAGAACAGTGAAGCCATTTTTAGTCATATTTATATGGAAGCATCTGCACATGCAGGTAGTGTAGATTCAATTTTGTTCAAAACATGACCCCCCGGGATGGGATGGGGTCATGATTGATAATCAAAGTTTAGCATAGGAATTTAGAAAAAATCTGTATCTCAAGAACAATGAAGCCACGATTGGTAATATTTATATGGAGGCATTTGCAGGTGGTGTAGATTCAAGTTTGTTCAAAACATGCCTCCTGGGGGTAGGGTGGGACCACAATGGTAAATAAAAACTTAACATTGGAATTTACAAGTAAAATCTTGAAAAGTCTTCTTCTCAAGAACAGTGAAGCCATTTCTGTAGATTCCTTATTTTTCGCGAGTACTTTTTATAGAGGAATGGCTATTGGACTACAAATCGCGAGAATTATAATTCGCGGTTGGAGGGTTGATCAAGAGAATTTACAGGTATTTCATCACCATATGAATAAAAGCAAGTAATTTATTTTGTTATTGATTCTTATCGCGAAATTACGCGATAATTAATTCCTCGCATATATTTAGGAATCTACAGTATTCGTCATTTTTAGCTCACCTCAAAGCAGTTTGGGTAGCTTATGTAATACCCTTGGCGTCGACGTCGGCGTCCCAGGTTAAGGTTAAGTTTTTTGGAGCAGTTTTTAGCTCACCTGAGCCGAAGGCTCAAGTGAGCTTTCTGATCCCATTTTGTCCGTCGTCTGTCTGTCTGTCCGTCTGTCTGTCTGTCTGTCTGTCCGTCCGTCTGTAAACTTTTCACATTTTCGACTTCTTCTCAAGAACCACCGGGTCAATTTTAACCAAACTTGGTACAAAGCATCCTTGGGTTAAGGGAATTTTAAATTGCTAAAATTAAGGGACATATCCCCTCGCAAGGGGAGATAATCAAGAAAAGACAAAAATAGGGTTGGGTCATTAAAAAAACTTCTTCTCAAGAACCACTGGGCCAGTAAAGCTGAAACTTATGTGAAATAAGGATATGGAAATAACGAACAGTATTCAATCTCAACGTCCATTAAACAAATATACAAAACAAGAGCAGAGCAAACACGGACCTCCGAAACATCAGAGGTGGGATCAGGTGCCATGGAGGAGTGAGCATCCCCTGCTTGACCGGTCACACCCGCCGTGTGCTCATTGTCATAATCAGGAAATTACGGAAAAAATCCGTAGTCAATTCAGTGTATAAATAATGGACTAACAATTGGTATGAAAAACGTCAGTCAGCATTTCATTCAATGATAAATTGTATTTGCTGACAAGGTCATTGTATCGACCATAGAATTTACGAAATGATGACTTTAAACGAGACTGTTGATATTCTTGTTTCATCAACTTGCTTGTCAATAATTTACCTCGTTTAAGAAATTGTTCATACGTAGAGCATGTTCTTGCGTATCGAATCAACTGAGATATAAATACTCCGTATGCAGGTGATGAAGGTATATTGCTGCATAAGTAAGGGAAGTTGACGATAGAAAAGTTAAAGTCATCACGTTTATCATATAGCTTGGTTGTTAGATTACCATTTGTGTCTTTTTCAAGTAAAATATCCAAGTATGAAGCAGATGTGTTGGACTCTGTGGTATCTTTTATCTCAAGCTCACCAGGATATATCGTGTCGACGTAGGAATGGAAGTTATCATTATTAATTGACAATACGTCGTCGATATATCTAAATGTCGAGTTGAAGGCCACAGCAAGTGTTTTTTTCTTTTCACGCAAAAGATTTTGCATAAATTCTGCTTCATATGAATATAAAAATAAGTCTGCTAATAACGGAGCGCATCCTGGGGTAGTGTAGATTTTAAATTGTTAAAATCATGACCCCCAGGGGTAGGGCGGGGCCACAATGGGGAATCAAAGTTTAACATAGAAATATATAGGAAAAATCTTTGAAAATCTTCTTCTCAAGAACCACTGGGCCAGAAAAGCTGAAACTTATTTTGGCTTTTTAAAAATGGCGTCAGTGGAGGTGGCCGCTTGAACAGGGGGTCCGTGTTCTAAGGCCTATAAGTCAGTCCATAGTGGATTATTTAATATGTGATTATTGTATGACTGCTGTATAACCACCTTGGTGTTATTTTTCTGCCTTTTTGTGATCAAATTCATGCAGAAAACTTGGATTCTATCAAGATCCAACAGTATCCTGTACCGTATACACGTGTGTTTCGTGAGGTGTTCGTGAGTAGTGTTTAACTTCTATTCTTGTGCCATTTAAACGTCGGGTAGTGACTGTGCTATTTTATGTTTATGTTCATATCCAGAGACTGAAAATGCCACCTAGAAAAGCAAATAATAAATCTGAGGGTAGTGTATCTGAAAGCAGTATCAATTCATCAGAGACCCTAAGTTATGAGTTACAGTCAATTATGGACGAAATTCGTCGACTGAAGAGTGACCTTGTGACAAGAAAAGACCTAGCATTAATTGTCGAAAATACTGTTAAAAATGTTGTTACTGACATCATTGAAAAGAAAATGGAAGAAATCAACGAAGTAATTAAATTAAACAAAGAGACAATGCAGAAGGTTATCGATAAACAAAATGATACGATCGAAAAATTGAATCAAAGGATAACACAGCTTGAATTAGAATCGGAAGATACAAATTACTTTGCCCGTGATGCCTATGTTACTGCAAATCGCAACGAACAGTATTCTAGGAAAAACTCCTTCAAGCTCAATGGTGTTCCTCAGACACAGGGGGAAAATGTAATTGAAGTTGTTAATCAGGTGATTCAAAGAGAATGTGGGGTGCGGATCCTAGAAAGCGATGTCATTGCAATCCATAGAATCCCGGGTAAGCCAAATACACCTAAACCGATTCTAGTTAAACTGAAAAACAACGGCGCGAAGAGTGCAGTAATGTGTAAAAGATCTGTCATTAAGACCAAGACTAACGGAGAACTCTGGCTCTCAGACGACGTTACCAGGCAGAATGCTATTCTAATCGAACGCCTGAAAAAACATCGCAGGATTAATAACGCATGGTATTTCAACGGCAGCGTCTATGGTGAATTAACGAACAATAAACAGAGGGTTAGATTTGACATCCTAGACGATATCGATGAAAGGATAGCAGAAAGTGAAAAATGAACAGAAAACTATTCCGGATTTCTCTTTGCCACGTTCAGAACTCTCCATACTAGTATTCGTAGACACTGTTCCGGTATCGTTTGACTACAAATTACAACGCAGAACATGGATAATGTGAAAGGCTTTAGGGACTTAACCAACCATTTTTGAACTGAAAATGTGTTTTTTATACGTTTCTTTTCTCTTTCTACTTTCCTATGCTTTCCTCTCTCTTTCTCTCCTTTCTCTATCACCTTCTTTCGAAGTACAATGGCTCCACTCTCTCAAAGGTAATGTTAACTTGATAACAGTTAAACTTAATGATGAACTTAAAAATTCTATCGGTTAATTGTCAGGGTTTAGGGGATATCAACAAACGTAGAGATGTTTTTAATTTTTTAAAAGGATTGAATTATAATATGTACTGTTTACAAGACACTCATTTTACTCCCAACTCTGAGAATGATGTTAAAAATTTATGGGGTTTTGATTGCTATTTCAGCTCATTTTCCTCAAATTCGAGGGGAGTATCTATTCTTATTAATAATAACTTTGATATACAGACTTTAAAACAAAAAGGGGATGCTGACGGAAATTATCTTTTTCTAGAATTTAAAACAGAGGAAAAAAAGCTGCTTCTTTGTAATATTTATGGCCCAAATAATGATAATCCAGACTTCTATGAAAACATACAAACTTGTATAGATGATTTTAACTGTGATGATGTCATTGTATGTGGTGATTTTAACCTTGTATTGAACCCAGATATTGATTATTATAATTACAAACATATAAATAATCCAAACGCAAGGCAAAAGGTCCTTGACT